ATATATATATATATATATATATATATATATATATATATATATATATACACGGAGAAAGCAAAATTAATCTAAAGCAATTCTAAATCTAATGCCAATTAGAGGTGAATCACTTACGGTAAGTAAATAAAACTTAAGTAAATATTTGAATGAAAATTCAAATAGATTTTTAACCAATGAGGAGGAGTTTATGTCTAGGTTGGTAATTCATTGTTAATAATCAGTAAATGGGAATTTTGTTAGACCTGAACATTAAACATTAAACTGTGATTGCATTGGGAGCCAGAAGATTCAGTTCTTAAAATCATACTTGAATTTTTCTTTTTTCAATAGTCTGGAATTCTTGCATCGATGGTGACCAGATTTTCAGACAAGGGCCACATTTTTCATTTCTGTCCTGTTATCCCATAAACCAGACAATGTACCATATCTGACTGGGTCAAATGGGAAAAAAAAAAGAAAAGTTTATTAAGAACATTTTTTGGAGCTTTTCCTAAATGCAGTGAGAGCAGTCATTGTAGCAGAGCTGTGCCAGTGCCCCACATCATGTCAAATCTAAAACAGAGGAGGTAAAGGATTTTAACATAATAAATGGGAGCAGTGGGCTGCCATTGTGTGGCGCCCGGGGAGCAATCTGGGGTTAAGGGTTTTGCTCAGGAACCTAGAGTGGAGGCTCTGGGGATGAAACCGAGTACTTGCAACCTTTTCAGAGCATGAGCACACTGCTCTAACCACTAGGCCAACATTCCCTACAAGATGGGATGGAAACTAAATTTCAAAAGAAAATGCAGCCAGGTCAAAGACTGCAGGACAGGTTATAACTGGCTGAGGCCATTGAAAGTTGATTCTCAGACAGCTATTTATTTATTTTTTTTCTCTCTCAAAGGAGTGTGAGCGCGATGTAAAGCAATGCTTTAAAAGTGAATCGCAAATTAAATGCACAGCTGAAATAGACGCATTATATTTCCTTATAAGCATCCTTAATCTGGTCACCTTCTTAAGTTTCCTTCTGGATTTGTTCCCTTGTGTTTAGTCTTAACCCTTGTTACAGTCCCAATTCTGAGTTTAGAAATGCATCGCATACTTGTATACATTTAGCACTAGACGTTTCTTCAGATTTAAGGTTTTATTTTTTGCCCATCATGGGCAAAAAATTATATAATAAATAAAAATAATAATAGTATAAAATGTATCATCATGATGCTGCATGCAGCTGTGATATCACACAAGGATGCTCACAGGAAGATAAAAGAGAAAAACTGGAATGTGATGAATGTACCACAAACTTTAAATATTCACTGATTTACTTGTTGCTAAATGCATGTGGAAAATTGTGTCTTTAGTGCTTTGTGGTGGAAATTAAATCATGTGTTTCCCTCTTTCAGAAGAGCTGTCCATCAGCATATCTGTGTCCAACTGCCAGATCCAGGAGAATGTGGTAAGTGGAGATTATTTTTTTGTATTTCTACCAGAAGCAGTTGCACAATTTCCCAGCACAGCTTGCAAGTGTATGCATATATAAGCTAGCAAAGTAGCTGATGTGGTTAAACCAGAAATTGTATCTTACCCTTGCTTTTATTAAAACATCAAGTGGAATTTTTTTCTTCTCGACACAAATGAGGAACCTGCATTTTCCTTTTTTTTTCCTCATCCTTTTTGGTCATGGGGTTTTCGATTTAGTTCCACTTCTGCACTGAGTGAAAGTTAAATATTTGGCAATATTTGTCTTTTCCCGAAAACATTTGGGAAAAGAACGAGTTTTGCCAAACCGTAGATGATGGAATTACTGATGAGTCCAACTTCAGTAGAGAGAGGTGGCTTTTTCCACAAGCTAAAAGCAGCAATAAGTAACAGTTCAAACCATATCTTTGCAGGATATTGCCTCAGTGTATCAAATATTCTCTGATGAGGTGCTGGGATCAGGCCAGTTTGGCATTGTGTATGGAGGTAGGTTTCACCGTTAGTCACCTGTCATGTCAAGTTTGATTTACTTTTGTATTAAATCCCATATTGTGGGCTTCCTTTCATGTTTTAGGGAAGCATAGAAAGAGCGGCAGAGACGTTGCCATCAAGGTTATTGACAAGATGAGATTTCCTACCAAGCAGGAGAGCCAGCTAAGGAATGAGGTGGCCATTTTACAGGTAATGAAGGACTCAGTACATTAATAGAGACCTTAAAGGATCTTAGATTTAAATGCTGAATAAAATCCCATCTTTTTTTTTTTTTTTAGAATCTACATCATCCAGGAATCGTTAACCTGGAATGTATGTTTGAAACTCCTGAGCGAGTGTTTGTGGTCATGGAGAAGCTGCATGGAGACATGCTGGAGATGATTCTGTCCAGTGAAAAGAGCAAACTACCGGAACGGATCACCAAATTCCTCGTCACTCAGGTTTGTGTTGCTTAAACCAGGATCTTTCTTTCACAGCTTTACGCTCACAGTTCTGTTTATTTATGTGCTCGCTAATAATTCTCTATAAGCTGCTCTGTAAAGTATTTAAAGCCGGGCTTACGCTGTGCGATTTATTTTTTTTGCCCTTTTTGGAACGATTTTTCCAGTCGTGCGAGAATTTTTCGATCGAACCGACTTCCAGCCTGATCATGCGTCATGTAGCGTACAGGGGGTAACGAGGGGCGATCAACCTCTCATGACCACCTCCTGATTAGGAATCGTGAGGTCGGGAGAAAATCAAATATGTTTGATTTTCAGTCGGCTGTTGTGGGCAAATCACTTAGTTAGCAAACAAGGATTCTTCTTCTTCCTCTCAGATGAAAACACAGAAGCATGGCGAGGGTGCGATGAGTGAAATGGAGTTCTGTCTGTAAAATTGACAGACCGTAGTAGCCACGTTTGCTTAGCCATGTCTTTGTCCAAATATGTCATTGCCTTTACTGACAAGTCCGAGCAGCGGCATCTCACTGCGGAGCTGAGTCCGACGTGGTTTTTAGATGTACAGTGTGAGCAGATAGATCGCATCAGAGCGTTGTACTGAATATGCAGTACTCTTACTTGCAGACTTACTGGAATGTCCTTGATTAGGGTTTTTTAGAAGCAAAAGAAAATGAATTGCTTTTATCTTTCTTTGTAGTGATGATATTTAGAGGGCAACAGTAGTGACAAAGACAGGTTAGGGATAAAGTTTTGGAATTGTTTCAAGCAGAATCTTTAAAAAAATAAGGGGAATTTTAAAGGGCTGTGTTTCACTTCTTATGACAGCTTACAGTAGTAGCCATTCAACATTTCCCCACTTTCCTTGATGGGTCCTTGGCTGGTCCCCTAAGATTCCTTTTTAAATATCAACCTTTGTACTAAAATATTCTTTCTGTCATTATTTGTGGATATTAAGATCTAAAGAGAAGCTTCATCTCCTGGTCAGACCCTGTAATTCACGAATAGGGTGGAGCCAGAGTAAAAAAATATGCATGTCCAGGAGAAGGAGGGGTCACTTTAGTGGCTGGAAGTTGGCTGCCATTCGACTGCCGTTTGACCGGGAAGGGCCATTTTAAATGGCTGCTGCTCTATATTCTTCTAACTCCCATTTGCCTGTTTTGATCCATCATCTTCTTGAATTCTCTATCTTTTCTTTCGGCTGTGATGACCTTCTCCTCCAGCTTCAGGGGCTGTTTATCCTTGTTGTAGGGTTCTGATTGGGTGGATATGTTTATATGGCACTGAGCCACACGGAATCACAGCCTCCTGCATGGCTGCCGATTACAGCCTGCAGAGTGCTGGAGGCTCTTTGGCCTGATTAGAGGAGCAGTGGGGCCTGGGGTCTGGTTGGGTTTGGGACCCCAAACAGCAGCAGGGACCATTAACCAAGGCCCCATTAGCTGCAGCGGGGCCTGGCTCAGATGTGGCCGCGAGGACACGCAGAGCCAAGGCCGGGATTTGGGGAATGAGTGAATTGTGGTTTTGGTTAAGAGCCACAGGCTGAAATTTGTACAGCCGGGGTTTATGCAAGGATCTGGTGAATATAGATGAGCTGATGCTGTGCAATGTGGAAGTATTTAGGGTCATCGGTATGCTCAAATCACAGCTACTTGTTCCTGAGACTAAATAACAGATCTTCCTCAATAACTAAGAACGATGTAATTCATTTAAGCAATGAAATAATATTGTCTATGGTTATTAAGCTGTGCTAAATATGTTTGTGGTAACTGATTGAATTCTCATAACAGATCCTGGTGGCCTTGAGGCATCTGCACTTCAAAAACATTGTGCACTGTGACTTGAAGCCTGAAAATGTACTACTGGCCTCTGCAGAGCCTTTTCCACAGGTAATAAAGATAAATGTTTTATGTCTGCAATCTCTGTTGCCATGATGTCTGTAGAACCAGGTTTTTTTTTACTCTTCTAAATGGTCAACACTCCCTTTTTAAAGTCATAGGGAAGTCATATTTAAATGTCAAATCATTCTGCATAAAACATGTATGTAAATGTACTATTTATTAGACGATATTGTCTCAAAAGAAAATTGCTATTTAAAAAAAATCCTGTCTTAAAATCTGTGTCGTTTTTTTTTTCGTTATCTTATGCAGGCCATTTAGTTATACCTCAGCCTGAACACCAAATTCGGCCAATCATATATCAACGGTCTGTCAATCGTGTCTTCGGCAGGCGTAGAGCTTACACAACTGGCAGAAGAGAAAAATGCAGCTGAAGACCAACAAAATCTATTAATACACCTTCAGAAAGTCAGGAGAAGTATTGATCTGGACTCCTTCAAGATATCCCACCAAAGTCTATGTAAATGACAATCTTCATTGCGATATAATAATCACACACTAAGTTAAAAAACAAAGAAATCAATCTTTGATGAGGAAGACTTTCTGTAGCGGGATCAATGTGTATTGTATACACAAGGGGTCGCCTGTTAAGGTTGCATTTTGTATCTCTGTGTCTCCTTGAACCCCAGTCAGCCTCGGCAGATGGCCGCTCACACTAAGCCTGGTTCTGCTGGAGGTTTCTTCCTGTTAAAAGGGAGTTTTTCCTCTCCACTGTCACTAGAAGCATGCTTAGTGTGAGGGATTGCCTTCAAGTCTATGAGTCGATGCAATCAACTGGTTTTCCTTAGATAGAAAACTTTGAATTAATTTGACTGTATGATCTGGTGAATTGTAAAGTGTTGTGAATTAGCTCTACATAAATAAACTGAATTGAATTATAGTAGGGGATCAGTGATGATATGGGCCAGTTTCTATTCCAAATTTCCTGGGATCTATTTAATTGATGTCAACTCTAAAAATAGTTGGTCGCTGGTCGTCATTAGGAGCGTCACCATGACAACTATCCAAAAGATGTTACCAAATCTGCACCAATCCACCAGACATGAAGTCAACATAATTTCTTTGTCCTGTTTTTGATCAATTCCTGTTTTTTTGGTGAAGTTTTTTAGGAGAGTTTTAATGAGTTTTATCATCTAAGATCTGCATCTTATTCCTTCTCGAAAAAAAAAACAATAAGTAATTAATTTTCCTGCTGTTTTTCAGGTGAAGCTCTGTGACTTTGGCTTCGCTCGTATCATTGGTGAGAAGTCGTTCCGGCGATCGGTTGTTGGAACCCCAGCTTACCTGGCCCCAGAGGTGCTGCGGAGCAAAGGCTACAACCGGTCATTAGACATGTGGTCAGTGGGAGTCATCATCTACGTCAGCTTGAGTGGAACCTTCCCTTTTAATGAAGACGAAGACATTAATGATCAGATTCAGAACGCTGCCTTCATGTACCCCCCAACACCCTGGAAGGACATCTCTGCTGAGGGTAGGTGGACACACAGCAGAGTTTCTCTTCGCTTTCTCCCTTCAGTTTGGAATTTACCGAGGCTTCATTTATTCTGGGCTTCACCTCTGTAAATAGCTGCAGGCCTGGTTGCACCTGTATTGTCAAACTGAAATTCAGATGAAGTCTTCCTCCCCACCTACACGTCTGGGTCATGTGAACTTTTTAATGGCTGGCTTTGTCTGTCTGTGGTTAAAATGAATCACTTTCATTTCTTCTCAACTGTCCGTGCTGTAGCTCCTCCTACGTACAGTTCACCACAGGAATGGTGTTAATGTTTAGTGAATTCTTTTATCTCTATGGAAAGGTCACAAAACCCTGTAAACTGTGCTAAAAGGTTTGTTTAAGATGATATCTGGCCTGATTTTTAGTTTATGTGCAGTAAAATCTTTTCCACATTTTCTGTATCCAATCACAAATTTAAAATGTATTTTATTGAAGTTTTGAGGTTCGTCCTTTTTGAAACAGCTCAAACTTTGATGAAATAAAGCAGGAATGATCAGGAACCAACAAAAATAGATTTGGAAATCATCTGAATTTGAACGAATCAGATTCCTTGTTAACATTCCCTTTCCAAATGATTCTCAATCATAATTTATTTTTTTCGTTAATTCAAGAAGTAGGATAACAAAAGGTTATTTTTAATGTTATAAATAAGCTGGCTAACCAGAGCTTTGTTTGTATTAAATGTTCTGTTATTGATTAAATTTTATTTATTCAAATAGTTATCAGACCTATGAACTTTGTATCTCACAGAGTGACACTCTCACATGGAGCTTTTTTTTGTTGAAAAACCTCATTAAAACACAGGTTCATATTCAGTATCCAGTGTCTGATCCTGCAGGTAGTATTGCTGTATAAGACGATGTCATCTTTTATTTACCCGATTCTAACTGCTCTTCTAGGCCGAGTGTTGGAGCTAAGAATCAGGGCAGCAGGAAGTCATGCTGACAGCATGTATATTTCCTTAACTTTGTTTAAAGCATCTCAGTTTCATTAGACACAGAATTAGTGATGTTTTACTTTTGTTGACAGAGGAACCTTCATATTTTATAATCTGTACTTCAGTCTGTGGGTTTTATCAAATGAAATAGATTCTAAATGAAATAAAATAAACACTGGAGGAAGTTATCATTAAAAAGATTAATTAATATAGCAGATCTACCTTTAGGTGCTTTTCATTCTATCCAGTGGGAAATAAGGAAGGTAAAATGGGCTCTGATCTCCCTGCAGAAGGTTTAATTTAATTAAATTAAATTCAGTTTATTTATATAACGCCAATTCACAACACATGTCATCTCAAGGCACTTTACAGTTCAACCAGATCATACAGTCAAATTGATTCAAAGTTTTCTATCTAAGGAAAACCAGTTGATTGCATCGACTCATTGACTAAAAGGCAATCCCTCACACTAAGCATGCTTGTAGCGACAGTGGAGAGGAAAAACTCCCTTTTAAAGGAAGGAAACCTCCAGCAGAACCAGGCTCAGTGTGAGCGGCCATCTGCTAAGGCTGACTGGGGTTCAAGGAGACAGAAGCAGAGACACAAAAAGTAACTGTAAAAGGCGGCCCGTCCCAGGAAACACACAGCCAGGCAGACGAGCTCTGAGCCAGCTCCCATGCCAGAGGATGAAGCAAATCCAGTTAGTCACAGTCAGAGAAACAGGACTACACTGGAAAAACGGCCGATCTCCAACATCTATAAACAAAGGTGTTGATGGCAGCAGCACAGCTGATATTTCTCTCCAGGATGGAGTCACAGCCAAACAGAAACAGACGAAGTGAAGCTACCATGAGAAAAAGCAGAGAGAGCAGAACGTTAGAGAGTTCAATAAGTTTCACTTTTATTTAAAGGTTTCAAACTAACTATATGGATGCTATACCTTAGAGCTTTACCAATAAAATACATATCTATAGTTCTTATGGACAAAAAATGTGATAAAGTTCAAGGCTGTGAATACTTATTAAATATAATGAAGTCTGATCCACATATCTTTCTGCCACAGCCACAGACCTGATCAACAATCTTCTCCAAGTCAAGATGAGGAAGAGGTACAGCGTGGACAAATGTCTCAGCCATCCCTGGTTACAGGTAACACCTTCTATTTTATTTTTTCTATTTAAATAAGCATTTCACAAAGTTGACAGACTCATAATAAGGTAGCAACAGAGCCTTAAAGCTGGGCGTGATTTTTTTCCAGGATTACCAGACGTGGCTGGACCTTAGGGAGTTTGAAACACGGCGAGGCGAGCGTTACATCACCCACGAGAGTGACGACGCGCGATGGGAGGAGTATGCAGACGAGCACAACCTCCCTTACCCTAAACACTTCATCATGGCTCCCAACCTAGACGACATGGAGGAGGACCCCTAGTGGTCAGCCAGCTTCACTGCGTAGAGGAATGGGGATGTCACCTGGGACTTAAAAAAAATAAATTACTAAGTGAAAGCTTTGGGAGCGGCAGGTTCCCCACCCAGAACTGTTAAGGCAGCAGAGCGGAGCTGGACCAGTGGAGAGCTTCAGGTCAGGAACTTTTAGAGTTGGGAATACCCCAACTTATTTTGTAGCACGACATGGAGCAGAGATGCGTGTCAAAGAAACGCATCAAAAGACAAAGTGGAGCTTCCTCTTTTCTAAAACGACTAGTAAAACATTCCCTGGATTTGCCTAGTTGTGATATGTTTTTTTTCATCAGGACAAACTCAAGCCAAAAATTGAACCTGATACGTAAACAGTGCTTAGAAAATCTCAGTAAGGACAGAGAGGAGATGACCAAAGTCTTACATCAGAAGTAAAGGGCACCTTCCACAAGGGATTAACAGTCTGAGAATTAAACTTTTCTGATCTGTTTGTCCTTCGGCATGAACTGGAACCATCACCTGCATGTTTTTCCTTTCATTTATTTTCTAGCTGTTGGAGGTTGTTGTACTAAACAACTACCGAGAATAGCGACTGAATAGAAACACTATTCGCTGCTACAGAAAGCAAATGGTGTCCAAGCAATCAGTGGAAAGTCTTTGCAGCTCACATGGAATCAGCTGCAGGAATTATCAGTGTTTTCAGGTTTGACGGTGGCAGCTAATAGTGTGAAAGTGTGATCAACCTTCCCCTGCAGAAAGGAGAGCGTCGATCACACTAAAAATGTTGTTCCAAACTGTTTTATTTATTCGTTATTGTGAATTTCTTTGTGCAAACCAGAACTATGGACATGCAAACTGCAAAGATGAGTTTAAAGCAAGCTCTCAAGTTACTGCATTCCCTTTTTTTCTTTTTTCCTGTTTTTTCTTTTTTTTTGCAGATTCTGGAAAAGACTTTTTACTGCTCAGCAGGAATCTGTTGATACCTGAATAATGTTCCCAGAGTCCTTCCTTTTTTATCTTCTCTGGACCTTTTCTAAATTTTGTCTCGGAGGAATCAACGTTAATAGAGATAAACTGGTATGATTAGAGTAGAGTTCAGGAATTCATACCCCAGTTTTGTACTTTGTGTTCCATTCGTTTGGTTTGGGAGCGTGTTCCGGTTTCATTTGTCATTTTTCCTATTCTACTGTTGCCACTGGATTGGCAGGTGTCTGTGTTTTGTATATTTCAGTACTTACCTGATAAAATAAAACCAAAATGTCTTCTTATTAAAAAAATTGCCATCAGATGATGAACAGCTGAAGTTTGCACCGTGTGTGTGAGATGCTTCCTAGTGTTATGTTGTATTTCAGCAGCTGGGTGCGATTGTAGCTCCGCAGTAAGCAGAACCATCTGCTCGCCTCTAATGACAAAGAATAAACGGGAACAGAAGAGGTTTGAGGACGACTTTGAAATCCCTCATAATGAAAAGTTTGTTTGGTTTAAGAAAGTGTCGTTTTAAATAAAATGGCCTTTTTGCAGACATTTCTTTTGAATGAACCCATTCGTTTAAAGGTAAGGTTTGAACTGGTGTTTTCTTTTATTTCTTTGTTTTATTCACATATTTGTTGACCTCTACATGTCAAAATATGAATATTCTGACTTTTGTCTTCAGTTCTCTCCATGCAGAGTCAGGATCAGTCATTTTGCTCTACTCAGCTCACCCATTTCATTTAGGCCTGAGAGTGGAAACAGATATGAAGGAATAATAATTTTTTCTCCAGTATAAACCATTTATGGGCTGAATTTTAAGAAATCCTTTGGGTCATCATCCTGTCTTGGATCATTATCCTGTTAAACTGTTTCAACCAATTGTCCATTTTTGTCTCAGATCTGGTATTATGCAGAGTTCAGGATGCCTTTGGAAGGTAAACAGACCCTCAGCATGATGGATCATCTGCTCATCCTTTGTTTAACTCCAAACCCAATAGTTTTTGCCAAAAAAGCTCTTCTCACCAATGAGACGTATTTGTATTGGATGTTCCAGTAAAAATAAGCATAGTCCCACGTATGTTTACATTTGTGATTGTTGAACAATGAATTTGCTTTACTGGTATGCCTTCTCAACAGGCAGTAAGTTAGCCTCTAAAGTTTATGAGATTCTCCAAAGTTTTTCTGTGTTTTAGCAGTTTCTGCATATTTGTTTTCAAGCACTAAACTAACCCTGTAAATGACGTGTTTTTTATTAGGTCACATAGTTTTTTTGTTTACCTTATTTTAATAGGAAACATTTTTAGACCAATAGGCTACATAATCTCTTTCCTGTGTTCTATATTTATTAAGTTAGTGTTCAAGAAAATACATCTAATTTTGTTGTAATTTATCTTTCTATGTTTTATTTCTAAAAACAGATATAACAAGTTCTTGATTCAATCAATGAAACAAACTATATTTCTGTTGCAGGTAAATAGAACAACCAGAAACATTTTGCTTTTTCACTGAGTGCTGCTACTATTTGGCTCCAGACTGATAAAATACTTCCTTTGGAATGACAAAGCAAGGATGTCTCTTTAAAAGGTAAAGGTGGCTGACAACTGCCTTGAGATTAATAGAAACGGGAAAGCAGAAGCTGTTTTAGCTTTGCCCTCCTGCAGGACCAGTGCCAGCAAGTCAGCCATATTATAAGAGGAAATTTGCCTTTGAGACAAATGGAAGATTGGTTGGAAACATAAAAACATAAAAGAAACTTCACGTTATTAGGCAGGCAGAGTGGTGCAGTGGAAGCGTGCTGAGTCTATAATCCAGAGGTCGCCACTCCCACAGACTGCTACTCGGTTCCAGAGCAAGACCCTAAACCCCCAGACTGCTCCGCGCATACCGCACAATGGCAGCCCACTGCTCCCCAAGGGATGGGTTAAATGCAGAGTGAATTTCTTTGCTCTGTACTTGTGACAACGTAATGACAAAGTTGAATTCTAAGAATTCATTCTTATATTCTGTCAGACATGTTAGATCAGAAATCCTTAAATTGGTAAATGTTTTTATTATTAACTGCAATATCAAATCAGTGAAAAGGGTAAATAGAAATATATATCTATACATATGTCTGTATATAATATATATATATATACATACATGTATGTATATATATATATATATATATAGAGAGAGAGAGAGATTGCTTTATATACTGTGAATCATGAGCTGCACTAAACTCAACTGTTTAATATTACAAATGTATAAATATAGTATATATAAACATACATAAACACACACACATATATATAATATATATACTGTATATAGATTTGACATCATATATATACATATATATGTATATAT